TTTTTTTCTCCCTTTTTATAGGTTTACCAGTTAGCCTTATTCAGAATCTACCAAAAGCTTGTTTTTTTTTCCTCACAAGCATTATCTAACCCACTGCATGAGAGAAATCTGTTGCTGAGCCTCAGGCTGGTCACATGACCTTAGCTCTCTTTTTGTATCATACCACTGCTTCCTCTGAAACAACTTCCTTCTGACCTCGGCTGACATTTGAAAAAAAATCTGCTGTGACCCCCAGGTTGTGGAACAAGCTCAGCATGAGGGATTGGAAGCGTAGCTTCTGGTAGAATTCAGTTCTCAGCTTTTGAAATCATACAATATAGTCCTAAACTTACACCTTAGCCAATTCCTAAAATTCCATATATGCGCCTCTTCACAAGCTACAAGGAAAGCCAGCATTAAAAAAAAGAGAAAAAAACACACAGTAATTGAAGAAAATTTACGAGCCTCACCTGCAGACATCGATATGAACAAAATGCAAATTAGTGATAAAAACTGACTTTACCGCAACCCCAAAAATATCACAGGACTAACAACACATTTAAAAAATGCATAAATGTCATTGCGTTGGACAACTAAATGTCACAGCAAATGGCATTTATTGTAATGACAGATGGCACACGGCGTAGACGGTGGATTGGTTTTCAGCGTGCCATTCCTCCGCCTGCTGAAGGGCGTGAACAAATCTGTGTGAGGAATCAGCGTGCTTCTGTAACAAGCAAGTTGAGATTCCCCATTTTTAATCAATGACAGAGTATTGACATTTTCCTCCACTACTTATATCGTAGGTGGTCTTTTGATTGAGCTGTGGGTAATCCATACCAAGCGTTTGATTTCTCCTGGGTGATGTAGTCTTTCTTCTCCTCTTTGGATCATTATCCCTCTGAAAGATTCACTTCTTCACACCATTTTTTTCTTCTTCATTCATTTGATTGGTTGAATTTTCCATCCAGATTTCCTCCTAGCAGGTGGTGAATGCATTGATAAATAAATAAGCACACCTCAAAAGAGAGAAGCAAATGCATCTTTGTGCAATAATTTTAAAAAACCTCCGTCAACAGTTTTTTAACTTTAGGCCAATTTCCCCAAGATGTCATTTCTTGTGGTTTCTTTTTAAAAACTAAACAAGTAGAGGGTATGTGGCTAACATCATTACGCTGGATCCACGGATAGCGACTGTTTAAATTTGATGGGCTAATCGTGGTGCCATGAAAAAACCACTAAAGTGGTCTTGTTGGAGGACTCAAACACAAATGGTACAAGCTGGTGGCTTTAAGGGTAAAACTGCTGAGTGTGGCAAGCTGCACACAAATCTGTTAGAGCTTTTCTTTTTATCATTCTAGAAAGCTTGACATAATGATAATCAACACAAGTCAAATGCAACCGTCCACAGTTGTGACAGGGCCTTGCCCACAAACGATGACAACGGGGAAGCAATGTGGGTCGCTGATTTGATCTCCAAATACGATTTTCAAATTACAACTCATCCCTTCCAGGCCCAGAGGCTGCCTCATTAAGGAAATGTAATGATTCCATTCGTTAACTCTGAAGTGATTTGCTGACCTCCGTGATTCTGTTCCGCCCACTCGTTTTGATTTTTTAACGTGGATAAGCTACATCCATATGCAACAAGCAGGCTTTGATGTGCTACTAACACAGAGCGCGCTGGTGGGCAGCTTCATTGTTGGTCAGGCAACAGCTGCAGCTCGCTGCAAAAACTTAATGACATATTTTTTAAATTCAAGTTAAAATGGTTTAAAATAGTAGCTGCTTCACAGCTCAGTCCTTAATCTCTCATGTACAAGCTTTGTGCTCTGCTGTGGGGATCTGAATACATTTGTTGAAGATTAATGAAAATGTTCTTTTAAAATTAAAAACATAACTCAACCAAATCACAATGAAATCTCTGATCATTTGTAGGATATATCTAATCAGATATATAGAAGTCTATGGATTGATTATTCCATCAATAGCCTTTTTTTGTGTCATGGCACATAAATTCAACTCAACAACACAGAAGAAAATGGAAATGCATACATATCATGTAGTAAACATGCCAAGTTCAACACTTCAATATCACTTGATAATACATCCCATTTGCCTAAAGAGTGATACATTTAGCATGGTCGGAAATTTGGATTCCTGATCAGCTTGATGCGTTTAGATGAATTTCAGCTTTGACACATACTCAGACTATGCAAAGCAAATGGATTCCCACAATGAATGAAGCATGAGACTGACAGCTCTGAGCTCATACAAGACCCTATTTTAAGTGGTTGCCATGCCAGCTACACAGCAGTCAGTGACTCCATGTTAAACCACAAGCTCTTAGAGCAACACCATGAATAATTCACCACCTTTAACAGGAGAGGCGAGTGCTCGCTTGTAGCATTTTGGGATATTTAATTTCAGACGGCGACAGCTGTCACTTTGATAAATAAATCCGACAGACTATCGCCGAACTTAAGAGACGGTGAACATCTTCAGTGAGACTGTTTGGGTGAACGGGGGGGGCAGAAAGCAGGTCAAGCCTCCCACAATCCTCTTCGCTGCACCTCGTCCTTGCTTGCAATTCCAGTCTAGTGTCATTAAGTGTGACACAACTAATCACCTGTGATTTAAAGGAAGGCTGCAGAAACACAGAGTTTCAGTCGGCTTTTTGAATGCGCGTTTGTCCGGAGAAATCCTGATAAACGTATATAAGTAAATTTAGAAAACAAGGAAGCAGCAATGTAGTCAATCACATCGGTTTTCATAACATCCACTCATAGAATTCAGTGTTTTCTGTTGAATGGATCTCCTGTTTTTGTCCATTCGGTACAGCCGAAAATGTGTTTGACCTGTTGCATCTGCAACAGCAGACGAGCTACTTTCTGTTTCCTTTAAAGTTGAAAGGAAATCTATATCAGCTCATCCTCTCAGATGATCACTGACCCTCCACTAAACCAAACAAAGTAGCACCTATCTTAGTCGAAAGGTTTTTTATTACTCAGCCAGCCATGAACTGTGATAAACTCAAATGAGCCGCTACCTTTCTTTCCACAGAATCAAATATCAAAGGAGTTATAGCAGGAAGTAAATTCGTCAGCTGCGAACCAAACTTTAATCCGTGTTCACACTGTCTGCCTCCCGGAAAGCCTGAGAAAAAGGCATTCCTGCAAAAATGAACAGCTTCTTTTACTCACGTTTGTGAACATTTCGACAATCAAGGTATTCTGATAAGTGATGCAAATGGCCAACCATTGCTACCGTGGTGTAAAACCATGTCTGAAGCAGTCCAAACGGAATGCTTCCACTAGCACAGCTTTTTGGCTCAAAATCTGGCATAAAGAAAGACTTTGTGCACGGGCCATCTGCACAAATGTACAACTGTGTTTGTGTTAGCTCAACACAAAGCTACTGACTGACACCTAATAGAAAGACACTTTTCTACAACACTGTTGTAAACTTGTAACGAAGGAGTTTTCAAGTGGCTTCTGTGATCAAAAGCCAACCAAATCTATGTAAAAACAAGGGGATTTTTTTCAAATTGGATTATTGATTTAACAAGCCATTAACTCACCATGTGGTGGCTACTGCACTAACTGATTTTTAAGTGGCACAGTCTTTCATGGCTTAACACTAATATATTGAGTTTAATATTCTATTGAATATTCATCAAATCGAAACAAAAACTCTGAACACCGAAATAGTTTTTTAGACTTATATACTGGCTTCCTGACAATTGACGAATCACAATTTCTGGAGTCTGGAGATAAAACACAGTCAGTTAACATGACGCCTCGGAAGAAACAGAAACAAAAAACAAAAACAAAACCTATATCCTCAGACAGAATCTTCTCCAGGGAACATTCAGATTTCCGTCTTTCCACCCGCGTACCCCTCACAGACTTGGCGCTGCTGTACGCTGTGTATTTCCTCATGATAGGAAGTGTGAAATGTTGCAGTTGCGCTGGGAAGGAGAAAGCCATGTGAAAAAGCGCACAAACGCACGCAGAGTGGTGCGAGTTGTTTTGTAGCAAATGGCCAGTCTTCTGCAGTTCTCCTAACAGGGGGGCTACAGGCCAAAGCATTACCCAATAGAAAAACCTGTCCTTCATGACCAGACTACCACTGACTGTAATGGGTCCATTTCCCCTTCACAGCCAGCACAAACAAACACGTGCGCTCAGTAAGTACACAGGATGCTTTTGCTGAGACGTACAGGCTTGCCTGTGTCACTTTCTCATGGAGAAAACAGGAAATGGACCTAAATTCAGCCCCGTTTGCTTTTATTTACATAAACGAGGTCGGCAGCCTGCTTCTTCTGTGAAAACCTGAAAAAAAAACATCTCACACTGTGTCCCCATTCATCCCCCAAAAAGAGCCCAGTTCCCCCTGAGGTGATGTGTGGTGTGCCGGTGAATTGGACCGGAAACTGAGTTTTTGCGCTGAGGCTTAGACACGTCTAACAATTCACACCGCAAAAGAGTAGCCCTCCACCCCCCTCCGCTTGACAGAGCAGTGTGTGTGTGTGTGAGTGTGTGTGAGTGTGTGTGTATGCGCAAAGATAATCAGGAGCTGAGAAAAAAAGACAAAAAAGCTCCCAGAGTCCACACTCCTCTGTTGTTTGCTCACATATTCCCTCTTTCTCCTCCCTGCATGTGACGCTGTCTGCACACCCACTCTTAAAGAGAGACAGAGAGAGTGAGCGAGAGAGAGAGAGAGAGAGAGAGAGAGAGGAGGGACACGGCGCACAGAGCCAGTCTGTTTTCAGCTCCCACTTCACTGAAGCGCCTCTGTCAGACGGCGCACTCGCCCATCCATCGTCACACTCTCTCAAACACATTCAGCCTCGCTGCACGACAGCTGACAACACCTTCCCCGTTTTTCCCCTCGGCGCCACAGAACCCGAAGCCGAGCCGAGCCGAGGCACAACGGGCTCCAGCCGTAGCGCGCCGGCGAGAGAGACACGCCAGCTCTGAGGAGGAGGCTAGGTCGAGGCTGGAGGGGCGGACTGGAGAATGGAATGGAACCTCAGAAGGATGGAAAGTGAACTGAGGCACATCAACCCAGACCTGCTGCAGCCCAGCAAGAGCTTCAAGAAGCCCTCCTCCGGCACCATCACCCTGAACGTCGGGGGGTTCCTCTACACCGCCCATCGGACCACCCTCTCCAAGCACCTGGGGTCCTTCCTGGAAGAGCTGGCCAACGGGAAGAAGGCCGTCCAGCACACGGATTCCATGGGGAACCCGTTCATCGACAGGGACGGCCCCGTTTTCCGGCACGTGCTCAACTACCTAAGAACCGGGGAGCTCCAGCTGCCCGACGACTTCCGGGAGGCCGGGCTCCTGCGGCGGGAGGCCGACTTCTACCGCCTGGGCGAACTGGTGGAGGCCGTGGCGGAGTGGGAGAGCCACAGGGCGGCCCAGCGGGAGCCGGCCTTCCTGGAGGTGACCGACAGCCACGAGCGGTCGCAGGGCCTCAAGGTGTACTGCAGCGACTCCGCCTTCATCGAGAAGGTCAAAGGGCGGCTGGTGCAGATCTCCAAGAGCCGGCTGGACGGCTTCCCCGAAGAGTTCGTGGTGTCGTCCAACGTCATCCAGTTCCGCCACTTCATCAAGTCGGAGCCCGGCTCGCGGCTGGTCCTGAAGGAGGACAGCACGTTCGTGTGCACGCTGGACTGCCTGAAACTAGAAACGGTGATGCTGGCGCTGAAATCGGGCTTCAAGTTGGTCACCAGCCTCGACAGCAGCAAAGGCTCAGTCGTGGCGGCCGAGGCCCTGCACTTTGTCAAATAGGAAGGGGAGGAAATGTAGGGAGGAGAGGGCAGACTTAGTGGGGGGGAAGGGGGGTGTAGTTCCCAAGTCCAAATCCACCCACCGATGTAAGGTATTGGTCTGAAAGTCTTGTAAGATGTTGTAATGTGTGCTTTGGTAGAAGAAGAGCAGGTGGGTTGGACTGTCTGACAGGACAGTGTTTTTATCTTCACAGCACAGCGATGGTTTAAAAAAAAAAAACTTTTGGGGTGATTGTTTTAGGCAAAGTGGTGTTTTGATATTGAAATTTGCACTGCTTTTTGCGTTTCAAATTCACAATTGTCCGTTTTAACACGGCGTCAGTGCATTAGGAGTGCCGAACACCCCGCACTGTTACCGGCGGATTTGTTTCTGCTTTGCCGACAGCTGCAAAAGCCTCCACGATCAGCCGCCATGTGCAACTGTTGTGCCCTTCAGCTTTTTACTACAGTCTGTGCGTGTGCCGTGTTTAGTTGGTTTAATAGCTTGTCTCTAGTTTATTAGCCTTTTCTGCCTGAAGGGAAAAAGCACAGCTCATTCAGGTCGATTCGGGCGGACTCACAAACTTCACATTCAACTGTTGAGTTCATTTTTAGCTCAAAGGACTGTGACTATTGCAAGGGCTTTAAATCTAGCATGATGCATGTGCACTGAATGAACAGTGTGTTTGATAGTGCTTTGAGCCTATGTAAAGCCAGTGACACAACAATGCCTATTACTTTTAAATGAATATTGTAAAATGAATATTTTACAAATAAAAGTGAGACTAAAACTCTTGGTTCGATGCGTCTGTAAGTGTCTGCTGAATCCCCCATCACTGTTCAACACCAACACACGTCGCATCACAGGCGGCATTTCTCAGGATGGAGCTGCATTAAATGTGTACCGTGATCTTATCCTGACCCACTTAGCTCAACGGTGTATGAAGCATGTTACTCTCTGCCATGTACTGGTGCCAAAAACATCATTTTTTATATGAGGACAATGAGGGAAAAAGGTATTTCTTCATTTTTGTCAATACATACACAGCACATGTGATATTTAAATTCTATTTAAACTCGGCTTGTGAACATGGTTTTACTCAAAGAGATGCCACAATCTACAGACACACAAAGTTTTGGGGGTACGGGGTGGTGGTTGGCTGGGGGAGGGGGGTGAATATGCAAGCTAGAGGCTGCACACAATAAAAAGGTTACGGCCTGCGACTCTTATAAGATTCAGTTTTTTTTTACATGCAAGATGATATAAAAGAAAATATAAAAAAGCAACCAGTAGGACGCAAGTCCTATTTTATGCTGCAAAAATGTTTGTAGACTAAATCAATCTTTTAAAATAGTCTTCTTGGATGCAGAATTTCCTGCCTTTTCAATTTTTGCAAGGTAATATTTGTGATTTAGCAACACTATTTATCATCGCGAAATTGTTTCTGGGAAGTCTTGCAGCCATGACACAACATTTGCTGGTTGGAAATATGATTAAAAATGTATAAATCCAATTAGAAGCATGCTCCGCTCTCATCTTTGCATTAACTGCAACAATAGGCCGTGCTGACTCGCTCCCACCACAGTTCAGGAGGCTTAAGGAAACTTTACCCCCTCAAACCCTCCCTGTTAAAAAAAAAGATGTTTGGCATTTTAAAAGTGGGTCATTCTGTGAGATAAACGCTGCCCTTTTCCCTAAAGGAGGATCTCTTTTTATCCCTGATGTGTGTCATCATCAGTGGTGGTTTTCTATTTCCCTGCTAATGAGAGGTAATTGTTTTCATATCCCCCTCCTTTGATTGAGTACTCCTCTAACGTGGTAAATTTAGCAACCTTCCTCTTAATAACAGTTTAATTATTGAAAAAGAAAGTACATTATTTTGTCAAGACTGACTTCAGCCATGATAAGCCTTCTTTTAGATATTGCATGAGGCCCATGGTGACAAATACTTTTTACAGAATTTGATGGAAGTGCCTTCAAAGGCAATGTACCTGCAGGGGCATTGTAGAGGATTATGGCAGGTGAATTCCATAATTCCATTATAACACGGGAAAAAAAAAAAAAAAAACACTGGACAAAAACAAAAAACAAACATGGGATTATACACTTCCCCCTCGTGTCACTAGCTTCCCCTCCATTTTCCATTATGAAGTTTCTTAAAATGCAACAGCATTGAACATTACACTTCCCTCATCACTGTGTTGATGGACCTTCTGATATATTTTTTTTATATCACAGAATAGCTGCACGTAAAAAGAAGAAATCCATCTCTTTACAGTCTATGCTATAATGGGCTTCATTTCAGATGCTGAGGGACTTTATGTCTATAAAACATGAGAGGGAATCCCAAAAAAGGTTCTGTTAAGTGACAAGCTGGGGGGGATGACCCAGCTCCAGCGATATCAAACCGAGCTTTAAACAGCTGATGTAGATTTATTGATGTTCTGTGTGTAAAACGCAGATCTCTGTCAAATATATATACCCATAGATCTATAAATCCCCCATCCATTTGAATGCACCAACCCTGAAAGGAAAAACACAGACTCTCAGAATCTATGTAAAACTTTTTAAGCAGTGAAAAATGGAAAATAAATCTGAATCATTTCATTGACCTGAAAGGAGGATTTTACTGGGTGAGGAAAGTAGAAAATGCTACTGTGTAACGGTTGAGTTTGAGGATGAAAAAGCAGCTCTGGCACAGGGTGATGCTGCCCTCGCCAAAGCAAATGCAAAAACAAGTCTAGCCTGGCTTATACCCAAACAATGTGAGGCAGGAATGTGTCATGATCCATTTACGGAAGCTTGTGGGATGGGGAATCTTTAAATCTAACTAAATATCTGCAACACTGGACCGCGTCGCTCTTTTTCTTCTTGCGAGAGAGGGAAAAAAAAAAAAAGTTCTCGCCGCCGGCTGTTTGAACTTTTAATTGCAGAGCACCCCCCCTATGGTGAGCAACCATCAGCCGGCTTGAAATGAAAAGCATCAATCATTTTTACCTCCGACTGTTCCGTCGCTCGGCAAGCTGACCGAAACCGCGTGTTCTGGAAAGTGATGTGGTTGGAGCGATGGCCCAACCATCGCCACCCCCCCCCCCACTTCATGACTCACCCACATTAAACGCCTGATATTAAGGCCTAATGCACAGCTCCCCCACAAACATGAAAACACGTCTGACGCGGCGCGTGATTCAGTCCAAGTCGGAATCAAAGTCAACCTGCACCGTTCTTAAGTCAACCCCGGCCACCGACACCCATCGCCAGCCTGTTCTTAATTGCAGATCAGCTCCATGCATTTTTTATGACGGTGACAGGTTTACTTATTAGCTGCATGTTAAAAGCGGTCCACGCCTCATCAAAGGGAAGAAAGAGAAGGGTGATGAAGGTTGGCAGGATCTGTGGAAAAGAGACAGAACCGAGCAGTGAAAGAAAAGGAAAAAAAGAGTCCACTTCCAGTCTTTGCACCTGTTTTCAGGCAAACTCATCTCAACCATCAAGCGCTCATACCTCCTATGTGGTGGTGGCTGAGCCAGAAAATGACTAGCATACCTCAGATTCTTATCCATGAACCCCAGAGAGGAGGAGCAGGCAGGAAACTATGAGGAGGGAAGGGGGGTTGGTGGTTGCATTAATTAGAAGAAGGGAGAGATGAGAAGTAGTGGGGCTATAAAAGAAAGTCGGGTATTTGCTTGACAAAGTATATTTAGCTCTGCCTTAGGGTGGAGTTTCAGAGCATCAAAGCTTCTGATACGGAACCTACCCTTTAAAAACGTGCTTAACTCATGCCTCAGTGTGTATTTCCAACCTTGAAAAGAAAAAAGGGCTAAGTGCATCCATTCATAAAACTTAATATACTGATAACAAATTACTAATAAAAACAGAGGGGAAACCCTTTATCGTAAAGACCACTGAAGGCATATGCACCCGGAAAGACTGGACATTCAAATGAAGGCACACAAAGTGCGAGAATAAAATGGGAAGAGGGAGAAATAACAAGGGAGGCTTTAAAGAGGGTGGATCAAAAATGGAAAGGCGCAAAAAGGAACTCCCGCAGTGCAGAGACAGAACAGGGAGAGGGTGGAAATCAGAGCCAACCTGCCCGACACCTTTCTTGTGCTTATCTGCACAGTCAGAGCCTGAACAAAACTCTTTGGAGAAATGTTATTTTAGACGTGCCGTTTCCATACCAAAGTCTGTCGTGAGAAGTGTGGAAATGCCATTTTTTATTCGCACATATCTGAAAATAACATCTGTTTTGGCTGTACTAAAACATTATTCAAATGTCATACACGTGTTATGGACACACAACTTTAAGCTGCTGCAGTCAGTCCGATTCTCACACCAATGAAATAACCAGACTTTTAATGCAAACACCACCCTTAAAATCAGCACTGACATTACCAAGCCAAAGATCCCCGCCTATCGTATATTTAGCTGTGAAATCCAAATACTTAAAGCAGCACCTGCTCCATTCGAAATCCGAAAAAAGCAGCTTTTTCTACAGCAGGACCATCCAAGTTCACATCCCACTGAGGAAAATCCTCCCACATAACACAAGCAGATTTTCTTGCTTGTTTAAATCTGATAGAAACATATGGGCTGGGCAACCTGTGCGTAAGGGCGCCCGTTGAGTCAGACGTGGATATATTTTGTTAAAGACACAATGCCGGACAGATTTGTCCCTGAAAAAGGGAAAATCTGATTCTTATCCATCTTCAAAAACAAGTGACCGGAAACGGTAAGTTGAAAAAGAAAGAAAGTGAAGGTAATATACTTTAATATGAAAAAAATAAACACTCCATCAGAGTCTATCAGAGGCAAGCCACAAAAAAAGCTCAACAGCTCGGTTCCTCATGGAAACGGGAGCAGAGGATATTACCTGTCACACCTCCTCCGCCTTTAACCCAGCCGGTCTTTTAGCGGCGCGGACAGGGGCACGCCGTGTGTTGACTGGCGACAGAGGATGAAATTCTAACATCCTGTCATTATCCCGCCGTCACACGTCCCCTGTGTGTGGGAGCACA